TATGTGACTCCCCGACTGTCGTAGATGCCCTCTGCCTCATTACACCCACCAACACACCCAACCCCCTCCCCCCCAGCCCCCTCCCCTTACCTGTCCAGCTGGTAACCCAGGTGGTAGTCCTTCATGGCCATTTGCCGGAGCGGCTGCTCCTCCTGATTGGGGAGGGGGTGGAGGGGGGGGGAGGGGGGATTGACGGCAGCCAACAGAGAGGCGGGGAGAAATTGGTGGGGTGGAGAAATTGAGAAAAGCGAAGAAAGAGTTACGCACTGACAGCAGGGTCAGGCTGCACCCTCGCCGCTGTGGACAGAACTGCACCGCCTTCCACATGGTTTGATACCATAGCGCAATGGGCTTCTACGGACCATTGGGCGCGCGCCGTCTTGCCGCCGGCCCAGCCCCCTGCCTTCCCACCTGCATACGGCATACAACCCCATCAGAGCTCCCCCTACCGGGGCCCCCCGGGGCCATCCCTCCTTGCCCCCGCACCACCACAAACCCGCAGAGAGAGGGGGAGCGAGGGAGAGAGAGGCGCCCACTGGGGGGGATATAAGAGTACTGCCCGCCCGCCCCAGAGCCCCACTGGGACCCCGACACGCATACATATATACATACGTGCACACACACGCCCACCTTTCGGTCAGTGAGCGCAAGGATCTTCCGTGCGCTGTTAAGTTGCCGTTGCAGGTGGTTGATTTTTCCGTTGGCAACGGCACTCGGGTAACCCAGGGCCGCCCGAACCTGCCGCTTGATCGCCTGCAGTCGGTTGGAGTTGGTTGGCGGTTAAGAGGAGTAACCATGCAATCATGCAAACGTCAAGTACAGACAATTGCTGACATGCAAACTGCCGATTGGCGGGGTTAGAGGGGGAGGGGGAGGCGGAGGGGAGGGGAGGGGGAGGGGGAGGGGAGGGATGTTAGGGGAGGGGAGGCGTGAGATGTCCCGCCTGAGGAACACACACGCACATACATACATAGATACACTCACCCGCCCTCATCACCGTACATCTTGTTCGCTTCTCCACGCAATGAGCTAAGGTCACTGCCATGCCCCGCGCCCCTTCCAAGTCCCCCCAGATGTTCCCCTAGAATCCCCTCCTCACGCAGCCAGCCCCCTGCGCCCTCCCCCTCCCCCCTCACCTTGAGTTTCTCCCTCTGCGCCGCCCTCATGGCCGCCAGAGTCACCCCCGCCCGGTTGCGGTACACCTCGTCAATGAGCAGCACCAACGGCTCCCAGAACCGCCACTCCAAGTTCAAACCGTAGCTGTGGCGGAAAGCCTGCGGCGGAGGCACGGGGGTCAGGGGGGTGGGGGTCAGGGGGGTGGGGGTGGGGGAGTAATGGCGGTCCCGGGGTCAGGGGGGTGGTGTGTAGCCGCTCCTTACTATGAACCAGCAGTGGCTAGTACGGCACCTCCTCATTCCTCTGTTGCCGCTACCTCCTTCCACCTACTACGGACTGCATCCCCGCAATCTACGTACCATACACATTCGTACATAAACACGTACCTGCACCAGCCGTACGACGTCTTTGGGTACCCAGCCACTGGCCCGGGGTTGGGGGTTCGTTGGCTGCGTGGGGTCCTGAAGGGGGGTAGAGGGGTTAGCGGCAGCAGGCGGGGTCGGAAGGGTGGGGGTAGGCCGGGGAGAGGTCGCTAGGGGAGAAAGGGGAAATAGCACGAGGAGAGGAAGAACTTTACGCGTTTCCTGTGTGCGTATGTGCGTGTGTGTATGTGTAACTTAGGGTCATCAGAGCCCCATCCAGTCAGTGTCAACGGCTGTTGTCGGGACAGCGCCCCCCCACACCTCCCCACCGCACCCAGTCACACCTTCCAAGGCCCCCCCTGAGCCCCCCCTCATCCCTGCCAACACCCGACCCACGGGTCACTCACCACTCTTGCCTCGTACCCCCCTCCCACTCTGTAGAACAGGTAGTTCTCCGGGTCGGGGGGGTAGGCGGAGGAGGGCGGACCCAGGAAGGCCATTTCGCTGACAGGGTCCTCCAGGGGAGGAGAGCACGACTGGGAGTACGACTGGGAGTACGACTGCGAGGCGGCCCGTGATGGGGACAACTGAAGCATGCGTCCCCCGGCGGGCGACAGGGGTCTGGAGGAAATGGACGGGCCTGGGGATATGGAGGGGGGGAGAGGATCGTAAGTTCGGTAGGAGACCCATGTGGTTGAGAGCCTCGGAGGGGGCGGGGAGGAGGAGCGAGTGGGACGGGGCAATGAGGATTGGAGGGTGTACCTCCGTGTATGTGTGTGTGTGTGGGTTGGGGTGGGTGGGGTGGGTGGGGTGGGGTGGGGGTTTCGGGGACCCGGGGGGAAGGAGAGGGCAATTACCGCTGCAGGTGAACACGCCACAAGCTATGGATTCAAGATGTACGGCACATAACCCTAGGTGGAGGTTAGCGGGTGGCGGAGCTGTCACATGCGGGGTGAGTGACGAGAAGTGGACCCGGACCGCGGCGGTTTGGGGGTTTGAGGATGAGGGGGGAGAAGGAGAGATGGACAAGGATATTTAAACAGAGGGGGAAGGGGTGTACGAGTGGAACGGATGTACGGCAAAAGCGAAAGCACAAAAATCGTGGAAGAGCGGCCGTATTGCCGTACGCCACGTGGTATACTGATAAACACACGTTACTCACCCGACGGAAGGGACGTCCCGCGCCTCGCTCGGGAAGTGCTGCTGCGGCTCCGATTTCCTCCCCCAGCTCCCCCGAGCGCCAACCCCCCCGACCCGCCACCCCCACCCGCCGGTGACCCCATAAGGCCCCCGTAACCCAGCAGCGCCATACCGCCAAACCCCAAAGAGGGGCTACGCGGCGAGGGCGAATGGCTCCCAGACCGACTCCGCCTCCGGACCCTTGCCCCCGTCGGCGTCCCCGGGCCCCCCCCCCCCCCCCCCC